TCTGAGCCGGCCCCACGCGAGCTTAGGGAGAGCGTGATGTGTGGGGGCCGAGGGGAGGCCGCATCTCGCGGAAGACCGGGGGGAACCGGTTCGAGGTGGGCGCGGAATCAGAAAAATGGCTGTTGAAAATCGGTGGCGTTCCTGCCGGCCGGGAGACGGGGGTGGGGCGGCGGGCTTCGAGAAAAGGGTGGTAAATTAGCATCTTCTATTTCTTTGCAAACGGAGCAGTCAAGACGACTCCCCCTTTGGGCCTTGGTGCTAAAAATACCCATCTTTCTTTGGCTCGCCTGCCGGGATCTGTTCCTCACCTTCATTCCTAGGTGGCGGCGGCGAGGAGTCTCGAGGCAAGAGGGGGAGCCGGGAGGGACCCCCTCGGGCGCAGAGGTGTTCACACTGCAGGCTGGGTTCTGGCGTCCAAAAGGCTCAGCCCCCCCGTCTGTACAACGAGGCACCAGAACACTACTGATCCTTAAGTCATTCGGGGGGAGGTGGTTTGCTCTGTTGGGCAGCAGAAAATACAGATCTTAAAACTGGGCCAGGAGACTGGCTGCACCGCCTTCTGTCTGGCACAGGCAACCGTCAGGTTAAACCAATCGTGTAAAGAAGAGAGCTTGCAAAAGAGACCATTTCATCCATTCCCAGATGTTTGTGTGTTTTTTTTACTAAAGGGGCTGAGCCTGTCTGTGACACCCTAGGAAGCGCTGGGACCTCCTCAGGGACCCGTCCATTCACTGGCTTCAGCAGATAGCCAGTGCCAGGTTGAGTGCCCGTCCCTGCCGGGCCTGTTTGGATGCTGGGGGATACAGCAATGAACAAGGCAGCCGAGGCCTCTTGCTCCATAAAGTTTATTGTTAGTGGAAAAGACAAATAATTGCAAATTGAAGTAAATGCTGGGACAAAAACGAAGGGCTGGGAGAGAGAATCAGCGCTACTTCGCTTCAGGCGGAGCCGCCAGGGGAGTTTCTTGGAGGAGGTGATGTTGAATCTGAAGTCAGAGGAATGAGGAGGTAGCCTTGGAAAAAGCCAGCAGAGCAGGCAGCCCAGGTGCAGATCAGTGTGCGCCGAGGCCCTGAAAAAGGTAAGCTCTGGATGTGCCAAGGAGCCGAAGGAAAATCAGTGTAACTGGCATCGGCAGCCTGGGAAAGAGAACCAGAGTGACGTGGGGGGGTAGGCAGGGGCAAGGGCATGCAAGACTGTTCAGGGAATGGAGACTTGCATGAAACCTTTGAAGGACTTTACACAGAAGACTAACATTTATTGCTGTGTGAAAAATAAATGGGGTGGGCGGCAGGCAAAAACAAAAGGAAGGAGACAATTAGACTGTTGTGGCCGTCCAGGCAAGAGATGATGGTGGTTTGGACTGAAGTGGTGGCCACACTGTGAAGATTAGTTGAGAGATGCTATTTTCGACACCGGACTTGACAGGACACATTGATAGGATAAATTTGGGGAGGGAGGGGGAGGAAATGGGAAAACCAAAGATAACTAAAGTTTCTGGCCGGAGTAAATGAATGGACAGTGCCTCATTTATTGGATGGAGTAGCCTGGAGGAAAGAGGCCACCTATCAGGGAGGAACATTAAGAATTCTGTTTTAGCTCTGTTGAGTTTGAGGTACCCGTCAGAGAGCCAGTTTGATTGTCCAGTCACTGGGAGCTCGGAAGAGGTGCCTGGGCTGGAGGTGAGGCTTTGGGAGGTATCATCTTAAAGAGAGTAAAAGCCATAGGATCTGAGATCACCTAAGGTGAGGAGGTAGATACAGAAGAGGAGAGAGTTCAGGAGGCACTCAGAGCAGTCACACAAAGGAGCCAGAGCGGAAAAGGAGACTGAGAAAGAGGCTGGGGAGGCAAGAGGAGAAGCAGGAGAGTGCTATATCCCAGAGCCTGAGAAAGGAAAGTGTTTCCAGAAAGGAGTGGTCAGCTGTGTTAGATGCTAGCTGGAGATCGGGTAAGATGAGGACAGTGAAGGATCCATTGACTTGCAACATGAAAGTAATTAATGAACATGATAATAAGGTTAGTGGCCCTGGAGTAGAGGTGTGGGAGCTAGACCTTGGTGGAACTAACATGTTTGGGTTTGTCTGACAGGGAACAGGGAGGGGTCTAGAAAGGGTTGTGGAATCAAGAGGCTTTGGCAGAAATTGCTAAATGACCCTAATAGCCATTCTCCCCTTTTCCTTCAGCATGGAATTTCAAATTCTAGCTGGCCACATGGCTTCCCAGAATAAAAGCAAGTTTCTCGGACTCCTTTGCATCTAGGTATAGCCATATGACTCATTTCCAGCCATAGGAGGTAAGTGGAGGGTGTCCATCTGCAACTTCTGAGAACTAGGTTGAGAGAGCAATGGTGTGCTTTCCTGCTCACTGGAACATATAAAAATATGTAAATATGCAGCTGGAGTTCAGGTCGCCACGTTAGACTTTGAATGGAGGCCATGGTTGAGGATGTCAATGGAACTAGTTAGAATATATCTGGATCCTAGTGGGTAGGGGGCCACCTACCTGCTCTGGGCCACCTACCTCTTGACTTTGTATATGAAAAAAAGAAATGCCTGTCTTGTTTAATCCTTTGTTTTCTGATGCTTATAGCCATATCTAATTTTATTTCTGTTAGAATACAGAGGGTTCTGTTAAAATATGGAAGTTCCTGGAGCAGGTTTGCAGAGAGAGAGGAAAGAACCAGGAGAGAAGGCAGGAGTGATAATGCTGAAGGAAGGGTGAAAGGAGGTGGGGGATCCGAGGGCCTGCAGCAGAGAGGCTCCTCTGCCGTTACTAAGGAGGGGAGGATGGAGGCAGAGAGGATGTCTCCAGTGAAGGCTGGGTTTGGGAAGATGATCATTCCCACCTGATGTCTGCTCACTCCTGGGTGTGAAGGAGGCCGTGAGCCTAGAACAAGGAGGAGGGAGCGGGGGAAGCCAATTTTGTGAATCATGGACTACTAGGTGGTGGTGGAGGCATTGCCAGCCTGAGCAGCTTCTGGGAAATAGCTCCCTTCTGGACCACTTGGCCATGCTGCTGCAGGCATGAGGAGGGTGAGGAAAATGCCCAGGAAAAGCCAGGAGAGAAGGCAAGAGTGATGATTCCTGGGGTGAAAGTAGCACGGCCTCCACCCCACTTCCAATCAGGCCTCACTTCACGGTCATTTATGACACTTGCCTACCATTCCCAGCT